CATATCCTCAATTGTTGAAACATGAGGATATTCTCGGGTTTTATTGAGTAATTTCATATTTACCTACAGTATTTGCTGCTAGGTGTGTGAAGGCACCGAGTGAAAGTTAATGTGCCTGAATTAATGTCTTACGCTGCCATGGGAATCAAACCCATGCCATTTTGGATGTGAATTGATTTAATGGCCCCTTGATATATCGAGGGTATTCTCAGTTTTTTTGTAGGAGTACAGTACTTCAATGTATACCTGTTTACTGCTGGGTATTCACAGAAACAAGTGTGTATCCTGCCATGGGAATCAAACTCAAGCATCATTGCTTGTGAACCAAATTACTGTACTACAGGATTCGATGTGCCAACTAGGTTTGATAAAGCTTGGCATTTGAATCTCTTGACATTTTACCCACTGGTTTTAAAAGTTTTAACTGTGGCTGGTTGGGTTTAAGCTTTTTTACAAAGCCAGACATTTTTGTAATGCCTGAACTAATGTCTTATGCTGCCATGGGAATCAAACCCATGCCATTTTGGATGTGAACTGATTTAATGTCCCTTGATGTATTGAGGGTCTTCTCAGTTTTTTTTAGGAGTACAGTTCTTCCATGTATAGCTGTTTACTGCTAGGTAATCACAGCAAACAAGTGTCCATCCTGCCATGGGAATCAAACCCAGACATTGCTGCTTGTGAACCAAATTACTGTGCTAAAGGAATCAGTGTGCCAACTAGGTTTGGTAAAACTGAATTAATTTCTTATGTTGCCATGGGAATCAAACCCATGCAATTTTGGATGTGAACTGATTTAATGGCCCCCTTGATGTATCGAGGGTAGTCTCAGTTTTTAAGGAGTACAGTACGTCCATGTATATCTGTTTACTGCTAGGTATTCACAGGAATCAAGTGTCATTCCTGTCATGGGAACCAAACCCAGGCAGTGCCGCTTGTGAACCAAATTACTGTGCTACAGGAATCAATGTGCCAACTAAGTTTTGTAAAACTTAGCTTTTGAATCTTTTTAACATTTTACCTACTGGTTTTACAGTTCTGACTGTGGCTGGTTAGGTTTAAGCTTTTTTAGCTTCATTAGTCTCTACTTGGAGCTAATTTTAATTGGCCAGCCTTTTTTATTTTTTTAGAGCAGTGCCATGTGATGCTTCACTGTTTTCAGTGAGATATGGTTTTCCCATTGTCTCCTGGTTTTAAGTTGTAAGAGCTTGGACACAAGCACCTTTTCACCATTGGGACATCATTTTAGAGATCTAAATATGTTTGCTCCCTCATATGACATGCATCCTATATTGTGAAAAGTTTATCACAATAATTTAAGCTTTATGCTTATAACCTTGTCGTTGACAAGAAGCCTTTCTATATGGAGGCACGTTCTTATTTTTATTTAATTATTTTTAGTTTACACCATTTTACATGCATGTGATTTCCTTGGATTCTCTTGGTTATCCATGTATGGCACTTATAATTTTCTTTACTGTTTATTTAACCATTAATTTATTTTAAGTTTTGCATTAATTTTTTATTTTTACCTCCTGTCACTCCTTGTGAGTGGCCGTCAGCATATCACCTTCGGGTGAGCCTGATTCACGTTGATAACCTAGCTATCATCGGGAATCCCAAAGTAACCTTCGGTGCATGGTTTGGGGTTCCATGTAACGTCGAAGCAGAGTTTTCGGCGGACGATTAACCCTGGACCGGCCCAATAGTCGCAGACCTCAACGTGGTGGGCCGGTGAACATGGAATATCAAAATGTTGTAATGGTATTCCATGGCCAACTTGCGACTGTTAGTTAGCTAATTTTGTCGAACATGCAATATCACATTACTGTACGTATTGTAATGGTATTCATGGACGACTTATGACAATATAGTTAGCTAATTTTGTCAATGTTTTTTTAAACATAAATATTCTTGTACTGTACCTCTGTACTTACTATGTATTACAGTAACGTTTTACACACATTATTGTTAAATATGAAATGTTGAGATTGTCAACTGTTGTGTAAGTTAATTAATTTTGCACTTTTACTGAACATTGTCAAAGTCTGTATATGTGTAGAAATCTTTCTTGACCTTTGTAAATATTATGTTTATTTAATATTTGCTACTGAAATTATTTTGTAATTAAGGTATCATTTTGTTACATTCAATACTGAAATGTCAATTTTACATGTGCTCCTTTAAATGCTTGTGTGTATTGAAGCAAACTGCTCGAGTTGTAAATTTTTAAACTTTGAGGGCATTTTGTTTTTTTACATGAAAAATGTCATCTTACTGCTAGGTGTACACAGGCATTCAGTGAAAGTAAACATGCCTGATTAAGTGCCTATCTTGCCATGGGAATCAAACTCATGCTCTTTTGGTTTTGGACTGACTTGATGGCAGGGAATGGTAATTTTTAAACATTCCGGGTACCCTCAGGTTCTAAGGAGTAATTTCATGATGACCTATTTGCTGCTGGGTATACATAGGCACTGAGTGAAAGTAAACGTGCTCGATTAAATGTCTGTCCAGCCATGGGAATCAAACCCAGGCTATTTCGGTTGTGAACTGACACGAATGCCCATATCCTCAATTGTTGAAACATGAGGATATTCTCGGGTTTTATTGAGTAATTTCATATTTACCTACAGTATTTGCTGCTAGGTGTGTGAAGGCACCGAGTGAAAGTTAATGTGCCTGAATTAATGTCTTACGCTGCCATGGGAATCAAACTCATGCCATTTTGGATGTGAACTGATTTAGTGGCCTCTTGATATATCGAGGGTATTCTCAGTTTTTTTTGTAGGAGTACAGTACAGTACTTCCATGTATACCTGTTTACTGCTAGGTATTCACAGAAACAAGCGTCTATCCTGTCATGGGAATCAAACCCAAGCATCGTTGCTTGTGAACCAAATTACTGTACTATAGGATTCAATGTGCCAACAAGGTTTGATAAAGCTTGGCATTTGAATCTCTTGACATTTTACCCACTGGTTTTAAAAGTTTTGACTGTGGCTGGTTGGGTTTAAGCTTTTCACAAAGCCAGACATTTTTGTAATGCCTGATCCAAATTGGGCATGGTGTAATCATGTCTTATGCTGCCATGGGAATCAAACCTATGACATTTTGTATGTGAACTGATTTAATGGCCCTTGATGTATTGAGGGTATTCTCAGTTTTTTTTTTAGGAGTACAGTCCTTCCATGTGTACCTTTTTACTGCTAGGTATTCACAGCAAACAAGTGTCCGTCCTGTTGAAACATAAGGATATTCTTGGATTTTATTGAGTAATTTCATATTTACCTATTTGCTACTAGGTGTATGAAGGCACTGAATTTAAGTTATTGTGTCTGAATTAATGTCTTATGGTGCCATGGGAATCAAACCCCATGCCATTTTGGATGTGAACAGATTTAATGGCTTTTGATGTATCTTTGGTATTATCAGTTTTTTTTAGAGTATAGTATTTCCATGTATACCTTTTTACTGCTACATATTCACAGTTAACAAATATTTGTTCTGCCATGGGAATGAAACCCAGAAACTGCTGCTTGTGAACCAAATTACTGTGCTACAGGAACCAATGTGCCAACTGTGTTTGGTTTTTGGACTTCATTTAACTAGCTTTCTACCTTTGACCTCAGGAATTTATTCCGACCTAGCTGCATTAAGTTTTGTACCTTTGACCTCAGGAATTTATACCGACCTAGCTTCATTAAGTTTTGTGGTTTCTGATTTTTGTTTGTAATAAAATATTAAATATTTAATGTGTTTTAATGAAATCAATAACTCCTTAGATTGAAAAGAAACAAAATTGATGTTTCTGCCTCAATTAGATTCAAGAGTTATCAAATATAATGTATTTTTTTCTGCACTGGTTACCCATGCTGTTATAATGCTGTATGAATATTATGTAATTCCTTCATGTCCTTTACCATTGTATATAATTTTATGAAAATCCAAGATGATTGCGTTGAAAAATGCATTATTATTTTTTTTTTTTTTCGAATGACACATGGGCATATTTGTCATTCACAAACGGTTAATGTCTAGTGAGAGGAGAGTTCCGATAAATGGTTAAGATTGTACCCAACAGACAAGAAACATGGCCACAGAAGAAGTATCATGTTGGAGAGATAAGGTTTTTCCAATGTTCAGTCCTAGGCCTCTTGCTATTAGAAATTCATGGGAAGACCTTCCGAAGAAAGTGCATTCTAGTAATCAGTGTTTGAAGACTACACAATAATGAAAAAAGTAAAAACTGAGGGGAACCAAAATCTAGTGGTGAGCAGATAATACCTGGTAAAGAATTCAAATCCAACAAAAATGAAATTAGGAAAGATTGCAGAAGAAATTGCAATCATAATCATCTACGTCATAAATAAAATACAGAAATTTGAGAAAAAGAGGCTTGCAAGTGGCAATAATTCTAGTACTATTACTAGAAGCTCAATAAACAGTATATAGGAAGCTAGTAATTCAATTTATAGTAAAGGTGACCAAATAAATTATAAAAAGTTTTCATTTATGAATCCAATACTCAATTTGTTAGCAGCTAATATTTATTGATAATTATAAGATTACAATTTGAATAACCGTATTTGCAGTCATCACAAAATATTTCAAAAGTTTAATAGCCTTTCCTAATCATTATTGTTAATTTATTTATATTTTAATTATTTATATTTCAATTATTATTTATTTAAAGGTATAACCAATAAATTTTATCTGAAGAAAATGTTGCTCCTATCCATGGTGCAGTATATACTTTTTTGTCAGCAATTTTAATTTCTATAATAATGAAAGCATGAAGGGAGAGTTAAACTCTAGTAACTTGCGCACGTCGTATCTGTGTGTCTTCTTGAAGCTTCCAACTGTTGATATTGAGGAGATATTTCTCTGAAGATGTCAACCTGCTTCTCTGCTATTGTTGCTCTGAGAAAACAAACATGTAATAGAAAAACACACAAAATATACAGTACATACAAATTAGGAGCTGGTCAAATTTATTACTCCCCTTTGAACTTAAAGGTTTTATTTGAAATATGGAACTAAATATCCTAAAGACAAATCTGTATACTGTACAACTGAAAATCATGATCGCTTTTGTTCATAATATCTATACTGTAATAAAACGTGAATTTACGAAAAATAAAAACTTCCACCGTGCAAAGGTTTCAAAGTGAAAGCTTCATGCTAAGAAGCAATTATGCACTTCACAGGAACTTACTGCACTATTGGAAGTTGTGAAAAAGCTTGAGAAGAAATTAGCCCAAGTTGCATCATGAATAGAAATGAGAATTTTTTTTTTTCTTTTTTTGTGAATTGCTGTCATGTATCAAGGTAGTTACATGTGGGAAGAAGTGTTAACGAGTACATCAATGGTCTGAAATTAGTTAATACTACAATGCAAGTGTTACTTTGTTAACTAAATCATAAATAAGCTATGTAGGCAGATATATAATGATAGACCAATAACACTATACATACCTGTAATCTTTCATAAGATCATAATGTATTTTTTCTATGGTTTCTCCAGCAATTTTGCACGTTTATAGAATTTTTCAGGTAAACCTAGGTCCATTACGCCCTGCAGATTTTTTCTCCCACCTCATGCCATGGCCGACCTCTTAATTGCATCTGAAATGATGAATGTGATTATCACATCGTAAACAGCCAAAGCTAATAACTGCTAAGTACATTAAGATTTGGTTGAAAATGCTTTGCTTAAATCAAATTAAGGTACATTTTTTGTTCAGATAAACACTTATCAGAGACATTCCACTGCAAGCCTTAAAAAAGGTCACTTATACAAAATAATCTACATAAGATACAAGTACCAGTATATTGCTTTTATCATTACAGTACCTCTATTTCCCACTTTAATAGTTGAAAGGGATTATAAAACAAAGTAACTGAACAAAAGGTTATAGACATTAAACAATAACATATTACAAATAATACTTGTCCATCACAATATAATTCATAACAGTACTGTATAACATAGATAAACAAGCAACTATCACAATCCAGCAGTAACCAACCATTTCATAACCCCAAATATTCTGTGATCTTTATGCAATACACACACCTCATGGACACTGATAAAGGGCATCGATAAACATGTTAAAAAAATCATCTAAATCGTAATGTTTTCTACCGTTATGCAAGTATTTACTGTTGACAGTTCCAACTACAAATACTAACAATGCATTATACTTTCAAAGAAATTCAAGAGATGACTAATTTCCACCACTAGATGAATTTTACAATAGGGTTAGATATAGCTTACTTAAATTCTTGTGGACATCAAACATCTTTGGTATATTATTAATATGTAATGCATATACTAATGAAACTCTTAAAGATTAAGAGATGACTACCTGACTTAGAAACAACACTGCAATACCTAATAACCTAGCCTCTATCAACTACAAAAATATTTCAGTTAATATCTCTGGTGGTGTTGCATCTAGACTAGATTCTGGTGTCATTTTATAGAACATCCCTTCATTAAATTCATAAAGATTCCCTAAAGATTAATATTGCATATTTCACTTTGAAAACCAATAACTTTATAACATACAAATACAAATATTTATTCAGGTAAAGTACATACATACAAGGTGAGATACAAAAGTTGATGGGTTTATAGATAGAGCTAGTACATACAATGCCTAAACCACTATTACGCAAAGCGTTTCGGGCAGGAAAAACACTAAGACTAAAACTTAATACTAATTGAGATTAAAGTATAAAAAGGGTTGAGAAAAAATAAGAAAAAGAAAAAATGAAAAATGGGGGTGGGGGGGAACATGGCAGAAAAAAAAGCAAAAGTACAATTTGGTCAACAAACAACATAGTTTAAAATCGTAGACAGGAAGTAAGGGGTGCTATGAAAAAGGGAAAAGTACTGCACCTGGTGAAGATGGCATCACCTACGACATACTCAATGCACTGTGTGAAGTGTCTGGGAATCCACTACTCCACCTGTTTAGCAAGTCATTCCTAAGTGTACTGTTGCCCACACAATGGAAACACGCAATAATTGTTCTCATACCGAAGCCCAATGACCCTGCTGGCAATTACAGACCTATCAGTCTCGTGTCATGCACTTGCAAGATGCTTGAAAGAATCATCCTAAACCGACTGTTGCACAAAATAGGCAGGTTAGGGGAAGGGGTCAATGGATTTGTTAAAGGACGGAGCACAGCCAACTGTATAGTTAATTACTTGGCTAATGACACGGCTAGGTACTCAGTATTTGTTGACATCAAAGGAGCCTTCGACAAAGCGCAGGGGATTGCGATTCTGGACGAGCTTGCATGCATGGGTGTCAAGGGGAGACTCACGAAATGGGTTGAAGACTACCTCACAGGGAGGAAAGCCAAGGTCTGCTTCAATGGAGCAGTCTCCAGAACAATGAATATGGAACTCGGAACCCCCTAAGGCGGAGTTTTAAGCCCTACCCTTAAGGCGGAGTTTTAAGCCCATCATAATAATAATAATAATTATAATAATAATAATAATAATAATAATAATAATAATAATAATAATAATAATAACAATAATATAACAATAACAATAATAATAATAATAATAATAATAATAATAATAATAATAATAATAATAATAATAATAATAATAATAATAATAATAATAATAATAATAATAATACTCGTATTGATACACAAATCCATGGTAATAACTTCCGCTAACATTAAATGAACCAGCTGTGTTTGTCCAGCAGACTAGTTGTCATGGTCACCATAGACGCTCAGGTAGTCTCGGACGCTGGTTGCCATGGTGACCATAGACGCTCAGGTAGCCTCGGACGCTGGTTGCCATGGTGACCATAGACGCTCAGCTAGCCACTGGTAATGGAGTAGTGTAGTTGACCACCAGATTATGTATGTCAACCAGATATCGTAATATTCCTGCTTAAAGTCAACTGTACTTGTAACTCCAAGAGTGTGAAAGACGCTGATTTATACGAGAGCAGGTTACTAGGGATATTACTTTGATCTGACTAGTGATGTTTTGTTGTGAACCCAGATGCGGGCTTGAAGTTTGTGTGAAGAACCAGGAAGCTGTTGCTTCTTCTAGCTTCACTTGGTGGTTTCAGGTAAGAAATATATATATATATATATATATATATATATATATATATATATATATATATATATATATATATATATATATATATATATATATATATATATATATATATATATATATATATATATATATATATATATATATATATATATATATATATATATATATATATATATATATATATATATATATAATATATATATATATTATAGGTGTATGAGTGCGTTTATATATTTTTAAAACAAAAGTATGTATATATATACACACACACATTACAAAATGATTTTGATACATTAACAAAGTGGCCTCCTCAGAATGAACCCTTGGGCTCCCCTCACCACCCAGGACCTAACTCTCCAACCATCTCACGTCACCGCCTACCTCTCCAGGGAGCTCCTCAGGAAGGCAGAAGAAACAAAGAAAGCGTCTGAGAGGAAAAGGAAGACGGTACATGTTGTGAAGGAGAGGAACTATGTGACGTATAACTACGTAGTGCCCGAGGCAGCGGAAGATGGCGACGATGACAACACTCTCTCCAGCATCCTGGTGCGAGCAATGCACCGCAAGACAAAGAGGAAGGAGATAGATGAAGCCATGAAAATCAGGCGTCTGGAAGACGCCAAAAGGAAGGTGGATGAGGAAAAGAGGCAATGCGTGGAGGCCAGGAGAAGGCAGAGTGACAGACTGAAGGAGATAAGAGAGACTCACAGGTTGCGGGTCATAAAGGAGGAGCAGTGGAGGGCGAAGGAGGCGAAGCAGGCGAGACTCAACAGATTGGCAGATGTCTTCCGCAAGAATCTGCTCCTTCGTCACTACTTCGGTGGCTTCAAAAAACTTGTAGAGATCAGCAACGATAACCGAGCCAGAGCGAGAAGTCATTACCGGCTCAAGATCATGCAAAAGGCTATGTCGAGGCTCGTAATCCACCGAGATAAAGAACAGCAATGGAGAGAACACCTGGCCACCAGCTTCCACCGTGTATGTGTTCTCCACAAGTTCTTTACCCAGTGGAAAGAGGCAAGTCTATTTATACTCTGTTATCGTTCATGTGTTGTGCAATCTTGTTCTTACTACTATGATTGTAGAGATTCTGGCCGTTGTTTTAATTTATGATTAGACCTCGGATATCAATTCAGGTGTAAAAAAAACTCGTAATAAAGAATGATTCATAGGTAAATATATAATCAAACACACATATCACACGCATGAATGCTTGCATGTAGACAAACACATTTACAAATGCATACACACATGTACATATGTGTACATAAATTATATGTTTTGCGTAATAAGAATATGTTGACACTGTAAGCGACTGTGTGTGCGTGTGTGTGTGTGTGTGTGTGTGTGTGTGTGTGTGTGTGTGTGTGTGTGTGTGTGTGTGTGTGTGTGTGTGTGTGTGTCTGTGTTTAATATTTGTATCTGCAGAATCGACCGATTAGCTCTTGGACCCCGCCTTTCTAACCAATTTAATTTCCTCTATTATGTCTACAACATATATTTATCCTACTCACGCACACACACACACACACATCCCCAGGAAGCAGCCCGTAGCAGCCGTCTAACTCCCAGGTACCTATTTACTGTTAGGTGAACAGATGCATTATGGTGAAAGAAACTGGTCATTTATTTCTGCCTCTGCCGGGATTGAACCCGAGCCCCTAGAACTACGACCCCAGAGCGCTGTCCACTTAGCCGCGAGATCCCCCTGTGTGTGTTTGTGTGTGTGTACCTGGGAAGGGGGTAATTGATTGTATGTGTGTGGAAGATTTAATTGACTGTGCGCGTGGGAAAGGGGGTATAATTGAAAGAACATGCTGGCCTTAGCCTTCCCCAGAGCTCTCAGTCTCACCCACCCGCCCTCACACAGCGGACGGCAGCGCGGGCCGAACAAATGGTGAGGGCTGGGGGGCACCACCGTCGGCGTCTTCTGCGCCAGTACCTCTGGCTCTGGCGGTGGGCGGCGCTGGACCAGCTTCTACAGCGGCGAGCCGCTACACAACTGGCAAGGCAGCACTATCACAGGTGAGCCAAGGCTGGGAATAATCTTCAGTTTCTGGGGGCCCAATTCACAGCCAATAAATCGATTGATATGTGATGCTGTTTACCGCACGAGTTTAGCCATGTTTACATCCAACATCCAAGCTCGAGTGAGGCACTTGTTTCCGCCACTTCCTGTCTCGGCGCCTCCCACACACTCTCCTCGAGCTCAGTATCTTTCTTCTATCTGTCTTCATTTGCAACTTCAGCTATGTATTTTTTCCCTTCGGTCTCCTGATCTTGGCCCCCTTATATATATATATATATATATATATATATATATATATATATATATATATATATATATATATATATATATATATATATATATATTTATTTATTCATATATTCATATTGTGGCCTAGTGCTTAAGGTGTGTACTTTGGAGCACATAGTGTGCAGGTTCGAATCCATCTCATGGCTCCTACTGATTTTCTCAATAATAATAATAATAATAATAATAATAATAATAATAATAATTCGGAGTCCAATTAATATATTGCAAGAATCGTCATGGGGAACTCTTTGGCACTGTGTCATGTGGCATTCGTTTCATTGATGCCATCCCTGGCTCACCAAACACTATATTAGGTTAGAATACGCGCGGCTTGGTTATGTTAGCCTAATAAATAATACAAATCGAACTGTATACAGACTCACTTAATAGTGATTCTGTACCATCGACCTCTTTGTTTATATAACAGAGATGCTTATAAGGTCAATCTTGATCCTTATAGGAACAGACCCATCAACCCTGAGACCGCCTAATCCACCTTTCTCATTTCCCTCTTCTGTCATGATCACTCCACCACCTGCCTTCAAATGACCCTAACAACACTTACCCCCTGCCTTAGGAAGGTCCTTCGCCGGGGAGTGAGGAGTTGGAGGCAGTACCTGGAGGACCGGCGGGCGAGGAGACAACAGGACCTGGTGGCTTCTCGCCTTAGGTTCCTCGTCAAGAACATCATCCCAGATTTCTCTCCAGCATCCTCTGACGACGACGACGACGGCGGCGGAGGCAGTGCCAGTGAAAGGGACGACAGATGGGAGGATCTGTTGGCAGTGATGACTGTTTGATACATGCCAGGCAACCCATGTTGTCTGTGACAGTCATCACATGTGGTTAGTGTCAGTGTGTAGATGTAGTTAGTGTCATTATATACATGTGGTTAGTGCAAGTAGATATATGCTCCTAGTGCCAGTGGGTTAAGGAGTGCTGTTTCTTAGTGTCCGTTGGTAGATCTAGTTAGTGCCAGTAGATAGCTGTAGTTGGTGCCAGGTGTCTCTTGAATTTACCTAAATTTACCTGTGCGACACTAATACTCTAGTGGCCTCGATGAGGTCAGGAAGCCGGTGACTTGTCAAAGGTCCCGCCATTTTTGGTTCTTGCGGGGGTTGAGGTCTGGCTCTTTGGGCCCGCCTCCCAACTGTCAATCAATCAACCGATTTTATTTTATTTTTCCCTCTTAAAAAAGGGAAGTGTGTGTGTGTGTGTGTGTGTGTGTGTGTGTGTACTCACCTATTTGTGCTTGCGGGGGTTGAGCTTTGGCTCTTTGGTCCCGCCTCACCCTGTGTGTGTGTGTGTGTGTGTGTGTGTGTGTGTGTGTGTGTGTGTGTGTGTGTGTGTGTGTGTGTGTGTGTGTGTGTGTGTGTATGTGTGTGAGTGTGTGTGTGTGTGTGCGCGCGCGCGTACCACATGGGGTTGTTGTTGTTGTTGTTGTAGATTCAGATAATCAGAACAGAAAGTTCCGAGTAGCACGGGCTAATGTGAGCCCGTAGCTAGACACATGGGGGAAATGAGGGCTATATGAAGAGGTGAAGGGGATTATAGCGAGTGCTGTTTCCACGCCATCCAGCGACCTTGCCTCTGGCCCGGCCTCCTACAGGTGGGTATCTTGCCCCCTCCCTCCCTCCCTCCCTCCCCTTCACACCCTCTCCCTCTCGGCAGTAACGGGACTCCATCGTGTTGGAAGCGCAGTTGAAGGGTGTTGGAGGAGAATTGTTGGAGATGATACGCTATGCTGGAGAAATGACTGGACGAGCACCTGGTCTTCTCCCAGTTATCCTCTCTCCAGCCAGGAGCAGGTGGTGTTGTCATTACCTATTTACCAGGACCTCACGCCATCTCTAGCGGCCTCGACGCTATGTATACCTCCAGCAATACTAACATACCTCCACCACTACTATCATACCTCCAGTACTACTAACATACCTCCAGCTACATTAACATACCTCCAGCACTACTATCATACCTCCAGCTATACTAACATACCTTCAGCATTACTAACATACCTTCAGCAATACTAACATACCTTCAGCATTGCTAACATACGCCTATCACTACTAATATACCTCCAGCAATACTATGTATTCAGCCATCAATATTAGCATGCTTCCAGCAGCATAAAACACTTTTTCTCCTGTTTTCGTTTTGTTAGGTTTAGTTAAGATAGGTTAAATAGGGTTAGGTTGAGTTAGGTTAGATTTGCTTGAAGATTAACGATGACGTAAGAGAGTGTACACTTTTGACAGGTCTTAGACCCTAGTCAATTGACCTTCAGGCACTGTGATCTATCGAGTCTACAACAATCGTTTGGTTTGTATGATTATTAATAATTGTGTAACTAGCTTCAAAAGATTGTCCCTTGCTTAGCTAAACGAACAATAGGGTTCAGTTCCTGAACCGATTATGTGCCTCTGTAACCCTTTCCACCACCGTCCACGGGATGAGTATGGGGTGCATAATAAATAAAGAAATTGAATTTATAAGAGGTTAATGGAACCTCCAGATGCATGTATTGTTTACTGAGGTTCTCTTCTTTATTTCTTCTCCCATATTCATAAACAAATCTTGATAATGTTAACCTAACCTAACATAGAATATAATATTTGTACAGGAACATCTATAGTTTTTTTAGTGAAGGATATGTGTGCGGAAAAAAATACTCAATTTTATTACAGACTACAAAAATCGCTGAGGGTTACTATAGATGCCGATATTTCTTGAAACATGGCACTTGGGCGGACCCCCAACTGGCCTATGAAGCATTCCACCAAATGTGTCATGTATGAAAGCTGGGTGAGGTTAGCAAAAAGCATCTGGCCTCAAACGTCGAACAAACAAACATACATTCTCTTTTATAGATATAAATTTTTATATGTAAATGTATAAGTATTTTACCTTATTATATATCTATGAAAATATGGCACTTCTTTGGAATTTATCCGTTAATGGAATGCAAAATATATTTTTTATTTAACTAATGGTTGAATATTTCTCTCCAGAGGATGCAAGAGGTTACTTGCATGAAACCGTCTGTAAGTAAATATATTCGTAGTAAGTTGTGCTGATCCACTATTTATGTTGGGCGGGAGGGAGGGAGGGAGCTATCAGGGGAAAGCACCAAGCCATTGCGACTATATAGCACTGGGAAGGGATCGGGATAAGGATATGGGATGAGACGAGGGGGGTTGGGATGAATGGTGCCCAACCACTTGGACGGTCGGGGATTGAACGCAGACCTGCAAGAAGCGAGACCGTCGTTCTACCGTCCAGTCTAAGTGGTTGGGCACGTCTGGTAACATCAATAACAGCAGGTAGAGCGTCTGGTAAGATCAATAACAGCAAATGGAGCGTCTGGTAACATCAATAACAGCAGGTAAAACGTCTGGTAAGATCAATAACAGCAGGTGGAAGCTGGAGAGACCTATCATTATTTTTCCAGACCTATACACTAACGAGAATCATGAGTTGCGTTAATATTACAGTTTTTGCCATATGTATATATATATATATATATACGCTCTGCGGGTCTCCCAGATGCCCTGCCAAGGCCGGCGGGGGCACGGAATATGCCATGAGGAAAACAGGTTTCACAAGCGGATAAGTGACAAGCCAGCTACCAAATCAAACGGCTAGACATTCAATAAAGCAGGCAAAACACCCAGCCAACCAAGCAGCCAACCACACAGCCATCCAACCAGTTAACCAGCTAAGCAACCAACTCTCGATCTAACCAACCAACCATCCACCTAGGAGACAGCAACCAACACCCAAATAACCAATCAGCCATACCTCCATCCAACTAAACAGTCAACCAACCATCCACTCAACTAACCAGTCATTCAAGAAGCCGCGGCCAGCTAGTTACACGCCCAGCCAAGCTGCCATCAACCACTTTCACTGGCATCACTGCGCAAGGTTCGCTGGAGTCATGTTTTGCCCACAAAATGGATAGTCTCGACAAGAAAATACGGACATCACCTTACGCAAAATATTTTCACCGGAGCAGCTATAGCTGACCTGAGAGAGGAAGCAAAACAAACTCGTCCGAAACGCTTCATTTATATACAGTGAGAGCCACCAGTCATAACAAACTGTCGCATTTTGACGCATACTATACCTATGGCAAAAAAATAGGCGCACTAAAAAGTGGTATAGCGGCTCGAAAAATTGACATACTGTTCTGCTTTCTGTTGCGGGTCCTCTGGTAGGTTGGGATAGGGGGGCCCTTTTAATACGACAGTTTCTTGGCGTTGTGAAACCTTATTAGGACGGGCTGGCGAGAGAGGTTGTTGTTGTTAAAGATTCGCTACCTGGAACAAAAAATTCCAAGTAGCACGGGCTATGGTGAGCCCGTAGGCGAGAGAGGGCTTGGGAAGACAGGCGGAGTGGTTAGTAGTGTCAATGGCACCTGGGCTGTTGTTTACCTAGCCCAACTGCGCATCTCCAGCAGTCTATGAGGAGTGTGGACCCTTAGCGCCCTGTTGTACATTCTGCGAGTAATTTTACATTTTCTGACGCGTGCGTGCGTGTGGGGAAGGGGGGAGGTGCGCGGAGGCACACGTAATGAATCCACAAGCTAGTTAGTTAAATACGAGTCCACATGCATGTATGCCTATGTATTTGCATGGGTATGAATGTGTGAATTCTTAAGAAATAAGTGTGTATACGTGAATTCATGCATTTATTTATACACATGAATGCATGCTTATCTGATGCTCAAAACCATTCCTTCAATCACACCCAAGAGAATGCACGCACACACTCAAACGCGCGCGCTCGCACACACACACACACACACACACACACACACACACACACACACACACACACACACACACACACACACACACACACACACACACACACACAAGGCCAATGGAGCCGCACTGAAGGAAAAAAAAAACTTCCAAACTCAGAAACAAAAAAAACACCTAAGGTGGAATTTACATCTTATCCGTCACATATAAGCAGGATAATATAAACAAGAAATACTTCAGGATATTGTACTCTACATACGTAAGACCGAAATATGCGTATGCAGCGTTAGCATAGAGCCCACACAAGGCCATACATTTAAGTCTTAGCCAATCTCTTTCCATGTAAACTGCAACGCAGCGACTTGTGTAAACCCCCAATGGTTTATTTTGATTAAATTATAGAAGTCATCTTAATTAGGTTTAATCACAAAGTTTATTTGTTAATATTTTATTGTGTAACAACATTTAAACGGCTGCTTCTGAATGATTATACTTACTATGTATCTAAATATTATAAAAGGGAAATGTTGCACACATTCATATATATACATTCACACATACATATGTATACACACACATACAGTATGCGTGCATAAACCTATACACTCACACATACACTTAAACACACACTAGAGGTAAAAGGCATACAATATTGTGCATCAATATGCGTTATTACGAAGAAAAGAGCCAGTATAGTGTATACTGAGAGAGAGACAACCACAGTGCCTGTATAGTGTATACTGAGAGAGAGACAAGCACAGCGCCTGTATAGTGTATACTGAGAGAGAGACAACCACAGCGCCAGACGCCTCAACATTGTCTGCATGTCTGTCACCGACCTCTCTGGCACGCAGAGTGAATATATAACGAAATGGCAACCTTCGAAGGAACCTGCTGGGAGGGATAGTCTGATATGATGGGTGAGAGAGAGAGAGAGAGAGAGAGAGAGAGAGAGAGAGAGAGAGAGAGAGAGAGAGAGAGAGAGAGAGAGAGAGAGAGAGAGAGAGAGAGAGAGAGAGAGAGAGAGAGAGAGAGAGAAAAAAAAGAAGAGAAGAGAAGAGAAGAGAAGAGAAGAGAAGAGAAGAGAAGAGAAGAGAAGAGAAGAGAAGAGAAGAATGCAAAACAAGTATCTTGTTAGTCACCGTCGAGTTTTGCTACACCATTTCCGCTATCGTTGAGAGAGTGATTATTGCTCCTACGATATACGACAAGGACGTCATTAAACACATTCTCAATAAACTTTACTTCAAAATAGAACAGGTATGTTAATATATTGGTAATACCATACGGCAGATAACACAGGCGATGATAACATGATAGCATGATATTGCACCTGGGACAGGTGTACAAATGAGCAGTAGAAGCCTAGTGTTCAGTGATGAAGTTGATATCTTGGGAATAAAGTGTCATAAATGACCCTGAAGAGGCACGTGCTGAATGTAGCGAGCAAGACAGCCAAGAATCTTACAGTCCCACTGCGCGTCTCTTAATTTCTTGACAGCAAGGGTTGCAAAACTTTATGTGATTGATTGATTGATGAAGACTAAGCCACCCAAGAGGTGGCACGGGCATGAATAGCCCGTAAGTGGTGGCCCTTTTGAGCCATTACCAGTATCAATAGATGATACTGGAGATCTGTGGAGGTGCGACTGCACCCTGCGTGACGGGAGATGACTCCCTGTCAAGAGTCGTGACCTTATGTGAAGCACAAGTTCGCTTATATATTGAGTATGCTCCGCTCGCCTGGATTACAGGCTATTCATGCCCGTGCAGGCGATGAGTCACAATAACGTGGCTGAAGTATGTTGACCAGACCACACACTAGAAGTTGAAGGGACGACGACGTTTCGGTCCGTCCTGAACCATTCTCAAGTCGATAGATACCCGTGCCACCTCTTGGGTGGCTTAATCTTCGTCAATCAATCTCTCCTGGACTTCCCGCCCAGCATCATTTATCAGAATACTGGACAAGGTGGAGAGCCGTGTCAGAAGGCACTTCTCGAGTCTCGACCCGTTCTCGTTGGACTGGGCAATACATCAATCTTCAAAACTCTGATGTATTGTCTTCAAGTTCAGGACGGACCGAAACGTCGTCGTCTCTTCAATTTCTAGTGTGTGGTTTGGTCAACATTATCTTCAAGACTCTGATCTCAGAGTGTTCAACTCTGGAGATATGTTGGGGGACTTGCTGTTGTGTTCACCCACCCACTTGGACTTCCTGCAGGTCAGTGTTCAATCCTCGACCGTCCAAGTGGTCGGGCACCATATTTTTCCCACAATTCCATCCCAAATCCTTATTCTCATATTCCTTTCAAGTGCTATGTAGTCGTAGTGGCTTCATGGTGTTTCTCGTCACGCAGGGTGCAGTCGCACCTCCACAGATCTCCAGTATCAGCTCTTGATACTGGTAATGGCTTAAAAGGGCCACCACCTACGGGCTATTCATGCCCGTGCCACCTTTTGGGTGGCTTAATCTTTATCAATCAATCATGGTGTTTTTGCTAATAATTGTCTTACCATGCTTTACTGTTGTGCTCAAGGTCAATGTTCTCAAGGCTCAATTTCGAGAACAACCGGAAGTTGAAAATCACAGCACGAAGCTCAGTCAGTTAATCAATCAGCTGACTGATTACTCAAGACCATTACTCCCGTACATCCGGTATTGGATGTAACATAGTTACTTCGAATTCAATTGAGTTTATTACTAATTGATACAAATAATACGTTGATCAAATAAGTGAGGAGATGCAGGATAACAGCTTTTAGCTTGCAACTTCATTAGGAGCATCGACGTGTGTCCTAGTAAACCCTTGTCTTAGTTTAAACAGGGGAAAAAGAAGCAATCAAGAAAGTGAAAAAATAAACTGAAAGTCGGAGGTAAACCAGAAACGAAAAGGCGTACTTGAATTCCAAGAGGTAAACTAGAGGCAATATCACTGAAGATATACTTTTTGGCTCATGTTTAGTTCATTATATGTCTTTCCTAAAGTAGAAAATATATGTAGACAAAGATCAAGGCGAGAGTATACGTTGTTTATACATTAATGCTGAGGATAATGATAATGTATAAATACTTAGCTGCATTTATTCAAATTATACAAGTCTTTCATTCTGTATAATGGCATTAGAGGCAGCGTGTGGGATAAGTAATGAGGTCGTAATCAACATATATATGGCAAATAATATCACAAGTGAATTACATACTAAATAATGATGTCATAATTAATGTATATGACAAATAGCGTCATTATTACGTATATACACACATGACAATAATTAACGTACGTGACTAGTTATGACATCATGAGAGAGAGAGAGAGAGAGAGAGAGAGAGAGAGAGAGAGAGAGAGAGAGAGAGAGAGAGAGAGAGAGAGAGAGAGACTAGCTCTGACTTGTTTCTCTTCTCCTAGACGCAGAGCTCTGACGGTAACACAAGCCGACAAGAGCACCACTCACTCATCCACATAATTATATCTCACAAATATACGTCGATACGATGTATAATCTGAGGTATGTGTCACACTCAAGGACACTTATAAGGTACATAAATATATATCCTTCTAAGATGCAGGTATAAACGTACAATACCACATTTTTCCTGAGTCAGTCTTTCCAATTAAAGGTCGAGTTGGGCCAGATGTGCTGGAACAAGCGGTTGGGATCGTAACCGAAGAGCACGAAGTCCAGCTTGTACTTCTGGACGATGCGCTGAAACAGTTCGGGACCGACGGCACGGTACTGATTGGTCAGCAGGTCCTGAGTGTTGCCGCGTCCCTTGTTAGTGTTTTGCATCAGCAGGCTGGCGTTCACCTTGGTGTCCAAACCACTTTTCCTGTAGGAGGAAGAGAGAGAGGGGCACATCCGGTTAATAGACCATGCAAGAAGGAAGACGACGCTTATCGGCGGCAGGGAGAAAGGGGCACGTCTGATTAACAAGGGAGAGGGGCATGTCTTGTTAACAATGAAAGAAAGGGAGGATAGCTGGTTATAATTAGCAATGTGAGAAAGAGGGGGAAATATGGAAAATGGAAGAAGAAACGTTATGTAAGGTAGGTGTTATGTGGAACCGGGGGAGTCCTAAGAAGAAAGTCGGATAGTTGCTGGGGAGAGAAGGACCGAAAATTAACAGACAGCGTGAATGTTGAAGTAGACAACAGCCTTATGTTTACTTTTTAATCTAACGATTCCAGCCTGGGAAAAAAAAACACAAAAATTACGTCACCAGACATGCCAGCTTCTTTCCATTGCACTTATTTAACCAGAATACCAGGATATAACTGTACTGAAACGTATACCAGGATTAGTCAATAATGTTAAGAACTTAACAGCAGCTTCTATAGAAAGCCACACAAGTTATTCAATAAATGTTTAAATGTTGTCAGAATGGACACTCAGTCTGTGGAGTGCCGTACGCTGTTCTCAAAGTAGATCACAAGCTTCGAATCCCAGGAATAACAGGTTCTCTTGAGGTGATTTCGGGGCTTTAGTGTCCCCGGGGCCCGGTCCTCAACCAGGACTCCACCCCCAGGAAGCAGCCCGTGACAGCTGACTAACACCCAGGTACCTATTTTACTGCTAGGTAACAGGGGCATAGGGTGAAAGAAACTCTGCCCATTGTTTCTCGCCGGCGTCCGGGATCGAACCCGGGACCACAGGATCACAAGTCCAGTGTGCTGTCCGCTCGGCCGACCGGCTCCCTTAATCGGCGTTCCCCCAGGTACCTGAAGATAACATTACCTTACTATACAGTACCAGAAAAATTCACCATATCTGCACCAGAAAGCTACAGATACCAGACATGAGGCACTAAACCTCAGCGGGTAACAGACCCAAGGTTACCAACCCAATACCAAGGTTACCAGAGCAAGTTATTACATGAATAGTTCATCGTTGCTACAGGAGCACCACTCTCACCTAATTCCTTCGACTTCATATTCATGCAGCAGCAATTACCAGAGCTGAATGTAAACGAAATAATTACTAAAATAAACAGTAATTATACAATTAGAAATAATGGTTATGAAAATAATAATGCAAGTGCTAATTGACAAACACCCCAACACACGCAACACAAACAACGCCTCAGCACCCCCAACACCAACTACACCCCCAATACGAACAACACCCCCAACACCTCTACACCCCAATACGAAAAACATCCCTACATAAAAACAACAACACAGAAAACACAAAAAAACACTCAACACAGAAAACACAACTAAAAAGCACTCCCGGTACAAAGAACACTCCGAAAACACAAAACCTCACCATGAAGTAACTCCCCCAAACACACACACCGTCATGCAAAACTACAAACAACACCCCCCCTCCCCGCGCCCTGCCAACATCTCCATGAGAACACGCAATATTTATATTTTCTATTTACACGCAATAAATCTCTATCAGAACCCAACCTCATGATGTACTGAATGTCGTCGAGGAAGGTCTCAGTGTGGACGACATCCGTGTACTTTATGTGGCAGGGAGCGCACGACTGGGAGACCGGCATCCAGTGGGGGTCGAAGTCCTGAGGCTCTTCGTCTACGATGAAATTGAGGAACTCGCTGAAGGAGGGAACCACCTTGACGCTGCCGTCAATGTTGTATAGGTCGCTGTGAGCGTAGCTATTGGGAGGAAGATAACAGTTATTATTATATATACATCACATCACTAAAAACTCTTATGAGCTGATCAAGTTTTGAACCTGCATTACCAGGGCTCACCCCACTGGCATACCACTCCGCCAGCTGGTGGAGCTCGGGTAGCACCAAGTCTATAAGTGTGAGAAAGTTTGACAACTTGAAAAGCCAAATGCTGGTGGAGTGGTATCCATACTATGTACGCTAGAAGGGTTAGCCATTGTAACATTGGTGCGAATCCTGGTTGGTTTCCTAAGCATCAGTTATATGAACAATAATGATTCCTCAGAGGTTCGAACCTGTACCGTCAAGGCGTCAACTACAAATCACAAACATATCACAAATTATAAAAGCATTTTAAATATAGATAGCATTAAATCTGTTTTAATACAAATTACAAAGCCATATAACATAAATATTAGTAATGGTTTATACATTTTTGACAAAAATTATTTTTTAGAAACTCCATTGTTTGTATTTCAGAAGATTTGTTGATTTACAGGAAAGAACTTAAGTAATTTCTTGTTTCGTTTTCTATGGTTGGTATACGTTTTCACATTGTTCATCGTGTTGATTTCTTCGTGGTAACTCATCTACAACTATCTTCACAACCCGTCCTCTTAAAAAAAACGTCACTTTTGGCCCGTATGCGCGATATGGCTAAATTTGGACGTAATTTGAAATGAAATCGACTCACAAAAGTGACGTACTGTTCCGTTTTCTATTTGAGTCGCCCGGCGTACGCGCAGAGGCTATAAGAGGACAATTTAAATTAACGTTTTTCATAACGTTTTGAAACTATGAGAATTTCCTGCCCACCTAACCTATCAGAGGACCCTTAACTTACTGATGTTGAAGAAAAAAAATCCCAAATTTATTTTCATATTTTTTTCATTTTCAAATTACGTCCAAATTCGGCCATACGGACAAACGGCCAAAAGCGACGTTCTTTTTAAGAGGACAGGTTGATCTTCATCACCCAACTCGCCACCTTCGCTACCATTCACCACTTTCCCATAATTCCTAAAGAAACTGCTGATGCCATCTATCGGCTGAAAGTTACACTATCAACAGGCCAACAGCAGCCCATAAACCAGCAATAAGACGCATTTCCACGTTTGCATTTCATTCATAGAAAGAGTGTTGATATTCTTTGTCGCAGCCAATCACAGGAAAGGATTTGCAAGAACTCGCCTCAGTATTGACGTCATCTAGGGTGCTCAGCACACGAAAAGAATTTTTCGATCACTTAATATAATAATTAAATATATAAGATCTTTAAGTTAAATAAAAATGGTCAAATTCTGTCACTAGATGGACTACGAATGCAGCATCCATGTATTTTTGCTTCGAAGCATCACCCACTGATGATGTCACAAGTTAGGTAGCCATGCAGGCCATTTTTCTATAACAACTAACTGCTATATCTTGTAATATTTAAATGTCACTCCATTATAAATTTTAAATTATTGAAAAGTTCACTTTTTGGATAGATTAAAGTTGAAACAGAATGCCACAACACGGGCTAGTGCACAGAATAAAGATTATATTATTAAGTGGGTTAAGTGTTTAGCTGATCCCTTCCTGTGATTGGTTGTTGTGGTGAATGTCAACAAAGAATTTTTACCAATGATATGCTAGCACAGGAAGGCTTCCTTCAGCCTTATGTGCGGCTGTTGGTAGTGCATAATATTGCAATGTTTTGCTAATAGAGGGTACCTGCTGTAGTATCCTATGCTGATGTTTGCCTGGCTTGTTGAGAGAGTAATTTTTTCCGATAAATCCCATCAGATCTGTCATTACCTTGAATTCCCCTTAAACACTGATGTGTAAATCCCATAGCTTATTTATAATAAGTTCTGGGATTCTAGCACAATAAGGTATTGTACTAGAATCAGGTATCTGGAGCTCCGCAATTACCTTACCCACTCTTGATGATATCATCCTAATGCATCCAAAGTTTGATAGTGCAGGGCTATGACTGACCTATGACGTAGACATATGAGTATAGTCTAGACGTATGACTAACTGCTCTGTGAGATAAGGATTTTTAGTAACTTGACCTAATAATTCTTGGCTCTGTGTAATCCTTTATTCATTCATAATGATAAATAAAAAAACAAAACGTTAAAAAATATTTGCTTGTGGTATAATTCGCTGCCCCCCTCTCTCTCTTCGTCTATATGTATATCTATCAATGGAAATATCTGTCTATTTGCCCGTCTGTTTTTGACTGGAGGCCAGACGCTTTACTCAATTTTTCCCAGTTGGATACGTGTCGAAAATGAGCGTGTCGGGATTAGCATAAAATAAAAGAGTGCCATATAACACTGTCCCAACGTGGCCTCTACAAAATACCTCACAATACCATAATGACTCGATTCTGAATACTAATATTTTGTTGTTTCCTTTTGTGTTATAATGCATACGTTAGCCACAAATCACATTAAAATTAAAGCAAAAATATAATCTTAATTAATACAACATTTATCTTACTATAATCTTTAATAAAGTTTATGGATTGTGTGATATTGACTGGTTCATAAACCCACCGTGAGAAGTGTTCCTGAGAGAGAGAGAGAGAGAGAGAGAGAGAGAGAGAGAGAGAGAGAGAGAGAGAGAGAGAGAGAGAGAGAGAGAGAGAGAGAGAGAGAGAGAGAGAGAGAGAGAGAGAGAGAGAGAGAGTTGGGGGAGTTGGGGTGGGGGGTGATAAGGGCGAGGAGAAACAGGCAAATCTCGGCATTACCGGATACCCCTTCTAGTGTGGGTTTATTTAGATTTATCTATAGATAGATAGATCGATAAGTAGATAGACACCTTGAAAATAAGCACCAAGTAATGGCGAGATAAAATAGACATATATTTGTTATTAATAATGAATGAATGGTAATACATTGATGTACATTTTTGTATATATCAGGCAAAAAAGTCCATTTAATGGTAGAATTTAGCCATTTTGTATAACAACTTTTATCTCATTTTTAATTATCATAGTAATGGAAAAAAATCATATTTTGGATATACATGCAATGAAACATAAAGCCATAAGCTAGATCGGTGTGCTGGTTACTCTGGATGACGTCAATAAGGAGGCAGAGGAGGCAAATACCTTCCTGTGATTGGCTGTTGCAGGGAATGGCAACACTAATTATATGAATTAAATACAAACTAAGAATTTAGTTTGTGTTGAGTCCTTTTGCACAGCAACCTATTTGTTTTGTACCTGACAGATACTTCCCTGTAACTGAGTAAATTAGTCAAATAACAAAGAGGTCAGAGCATCGTATTACTGATATTAATTGTTTCGAGGCAACCTCATTGATGACGTCCAAAATTAGGTAGCCAAGCCATTTTTCTATAACTCCTGTTATATCCTGCAATATTTAATTATCACGTAATAAGTCTTTTAAATAATTAACAGTTCACTTTTTGGATAAATTAAAGTTGAAGCAGAATGTCATAATCAGGGCTGGTGTGCTGAACAAAGATGATTTATTAAGTGGGTGCAGCCTTCAGCAGACCGTTTCCTGTGATTGGCTGTTGAGAATGTCAACAAAGACTCTCTACCAATGAAATAGAAGCGCGAGAATTCTCACTTCCGCACAACAACCCGCCTTATGGGTTGCTGTTTGGCTATTGATAGTGCATGGGCGACGCAATAGATGTCGCTAGGTGTATTTTGTAGGGTAACTTGTTGATAGTGTAATTTGATCTCGATAGATGGCATAAGCTGTATCTTATGACTACTGTTGAGCGGGCTTGTTGGCAGTGTACTTTGTTTCCGATAGATGGCATCAGATGTCTCATTATCTCTGAATTCTCCTTAGAGAATTATCTCCACTGGAGAATCAAAAAATTATCAGCAACATTGATTATAAGAGTTCTGCTTTGATAACATATTGTAAAAGCATTTTTAATTGAAATATTATTGAATCTACTTTAAAATTACAAAGCCATACAACATGAAAATAAATGTTTGCTGAATTTGGATCAATTAATAAACGATCACTAAGAGATGTCACTTCCGGAAGGGTACATGTATCGGTCATTAGGCTTTCTGTAGGCCTAATGATATGTATCATTTCATATACCTGAGTGGTCCCGAAGCTGTATTGTTTAAATACTTCAAAATTCATAACGCCCTGCTTGCTAGTCCCTGGCTGGGACTAGCAAGTTGTAGTCCCAACCAGGGCGAACTTTCACTAGCGTGATGCAAAGCTGAGTGCTGTACCACTGCAGCACAGAAGTAAGGGAGATAAATACTCTCTCTTACTATGGTGCAGTGGTACAGCACTCAGCTTTGTATCACGCTAGTGAAATAAATGCAATTTATTTTTTAAACGAGCGTTTCAGAGATAATATTTCTTCATCACTGCTGAAACAGGGAACACAATTACTTAGTAAAAATAAGCTAAAAATTAACACAAAATCAAAGTTCTATAAAAATTAGAATCAATTAATAGACTAAGACAAAATAGAAGCATAATAAGCAGATATAAACAGTAAAAACCTAAATATTAATGCAAAATACAAATAATACCTAAATAAAAGACTGAAAACACGCTAGCAGATGACGGAACTATTGGGTGAACAATTAAGTCGAGGACTCGGAGTTGTTCGACTCGGGTTTCATTTTTGCCGCAGTACAGTGAAATCGTCGTGAGCGAGAGGACGCTCACGGCTTCACAGTGATCTCGTACAGCAGAGGACGCAACTTGCCTGCGAGCAAACCTATACGGTAAGATTTTGGCTCACAGACACGGTGTTTAAGGTATCGTGAGGTATTACCTACGTACCGAACCTTACAGTACCAACATTTACAAATGAAAACAGCACCAAATCCGAGGAAAGAGGAAAGGATCTATGTTTTAAATAATATTGTCAATCACAGTAGTTGCAACACAAGACCTTTATTACTAGCTATCATTATACTTAATTATAAGGTGTGCAGATAAGACGAAAAGGCTAATATCAAACATCCATTGAGGTCTGAATGAGATTTTTTGTGGCATCTGTAATCCTTTGGCGCTAATGCTTATCTTTGGTCTGTAAAATAAAATAGCCACTGCCGGCGGTGTAAAAAATAAATGCTTTAAATAGTTTCTAACAGTATGAGTGTTGGTAAACACAATTTGAAAGTTAATTTGTTAATTTATGGATAAAGATGTCTCAGAATATAACGAAATTCTTTTCTAATATGATAACCTGCGGTCCCAAATACGGAAATTTTATATAATTAATGTTTTTAGGGATTGGAAATCTTAACAATAAATAAGAATTTGGCGTCTTTGATGATACTCTAAAATTGACGGAAGCGTCTTTGAGGGGTCGGCGGCAGCTTGGACCAACATAGCCTAAATGATACATTACCCCCGAGGAAATATTTTGAACATGCTAGTTTGTACAGGGTCCCGCTCAGCCTATCAACACTTTCGCTTAAGTGTAAAGTATATTGTATGTGTAAGCTTTCCTGGACGACGTTTCGCTCAAGTGTGAGATTTATCAAGCTATAGCTTTGATAGAAGCATAACTTAATTAAACTTCCGCTTGAAAGAAACGGCATTCGAAAAAGCTTACTCTCGAGCGAAATATCGTCCAATAAAGCCTTGCCTTGATATGTACATTTTCTCTACCAATTTGTAGGTAGTTTGCTAATTATATCTAAAGTGTTGCTGCACTCTTCCTATTTATACCAACTTTTGTGGCTCGTTCATTCTGTATTTTGCGTTTATCAACAATATATCACAACAATTTAACATAAAAGCCGAAATAGCTGTAATCCTTGCTAAAATATAGAACTAGAAAGTTGCGCTAACGTTGAAGTCAAGAGTTACGTTGTCGCTGCCCACTTTAACACACCGACGTCAAGAGTTACGTTGTCGCTGCCCATTGCTGTGATAACGCAGAAGTCAAGAGTTACGTTCAGTGGCTTCCTTGAAGGTAATTTTTTGTTTTTCCTCTTCGCAACCTTCCCTCTTCCTGTCGTGGTTCCTGAACGTTATGCTGAAGGTGTTCTACGAGACCCTGAAATGTTTTGCTGGGCTTCCTTAATAATTTCGTTGATACTACCTGTTTCGTTTGTTATTCTGTGATTTCATTTGATGATTGGAATGTGACGGTACTTGACACCGTTACTCTGACGCCAAGCCGAGATTATATTTGTGACTTGAAGCATATGTTTTGGTTAAAATCTGAAAACAAGAACTTCATAATGGTTTACCCTTCCGGAATCAACTTTGTCTATTTTTATATAACAGCCAAAAATTAATTGCTATTACTGATGAAAAACTCGAGTTGATTTGTATCCTAAATGGCTGTGATTTCCTTTCGGACTCTCACTCTCGTTGTGTTGGAAAGCTAATATTACGTTTGTGTGCTATTTGGGCATAAGTTATGGTTTCACACTGTCGTGAACAGGAAACCGGTAAGGCTATCTTGAGGTTATCTTGAGATGATTTCGGGGCTTTTTAGTGTCCCCGCGGCCCGGTCCTTGACCAGACCTCCACCCCCAGGAAGCAGCCCGTGACAGCTGACTAACACCCAGGTACCTATTTTACTGCTAGGTAACAGGGGCATAGGGTGAAAGAAACTCTGCCCAATGTTTCTCACCGGCGCCTGGGATCGAACCCGGGACCACAGGATCACAGGTCCAGCCTGCTGTCCGCTCGGCCGACCGGCTCCCTATCGAGGCTTATCGAGGTTTCTCCAGTCAACCACACTAGTTCACTAACTCCCATGTACTTGTTCATGTACTGGCTAAGCGCTTTCTCCTCATAATTCCAAGTTACAAGTTTGGTTTATTGCTAGGTGAACAGATTCATCAGGTGCCAAGGAACGTGCTCCAGCGTGTCCCCTCCTACCCATGAATCGAACCAAGGCCCAGTCGGTTGTTAGCCGACTGGTGTAACTCCAGCGCTACACCTTCAAGAAAAGTACATGGCCACGAATAGCGAACCTGATGCCTCGAGTCTTGACGAGGATGAGAGGCACGAAGTGGTGGGCCTGCCAGCTGACGTGGCTGGTGTCCAAGATGCGGTCACGGTAGGCAGAGAGCAGCCGCTCCAGCGGGTCCCGCACCACCAGGAACTTCAAGAACTCTCTTGACCGCGTCGCCTCGCGGAACCGCTTCAGAGTCGGCTTTAAGACCTCCAGGACTCTAGAAGGAACACAGTTAGGTGAGAGAGGTATGTTCTCCATCATAACACACAATGTTGAATGTTTAAATTAGAAAAACATATCTAGATAAATCAGTATATATATATATATATATATATATATATATATATATATATATATATATATATATATATATATATATATATATATATATATATATAAGCAAAGCACACAGAAACTGTATTGGAGGGGACCTACATTCCCTCCAATGCGTTATGTGTGGTTTCCTCCGAGGCTATGGGTCCCCCTTCTTCCAGCCAGAGGTGGTACTCCCTTCCCTATATGTAAAAAATATATATATATATATATATATATATATATATATATATATATATATATATATATATATATATATATATAGAGAGAGAGAGAGAGAGAGAGAGAAGAGAAGAGAGGAAGCTCTCTGCCTACCGTGACCGCATCTTGGACACCAGCCACGTGCTTTATCTATGTTTTCCTAATTTAAACATTCAACATTGTGTGTTGAATGTTTAAATTAGGAAACTTCTGATTAGGAAACTTTTAAATCAGGAAACGCTCACCCCTCTGAAGATGTATTATTAAATACGAATATTTCTTGTATTGACTGGTTTAGCTTGTCATCTCCAGGCGCATCATGAGAGCTGCAGGAATAAGAAAATAAATTAAGGTGTGCACTTACTTGTAGAAAAGCTTGTTTTCGATGAGGTCTGTCATGTTGTAGCGGTGGGCGAGGAGGTAGTTCCAGGCGGTGGAGCCGGCCTTCAGCACCTGGCACACGATCACCTTGTGATCCTCCAGCAGCTCCGTCCTGCCCAGGTGGGGTGAGAGGGACAGGGACCTCGGTCAGTAATAATAATTATTTTAGCTACACCACAGTGTATCATGTAAACGTGGGGCAACAAAAATAAGTGTAGGTACCAGCTCGCTTGCTAACCCCACGTAGGAGAACGCCTGGTCATGGTAGTTTTAAATTCACTGCGGACTAGTTGTAGTATAGTATATGTTTTTGGGAGACCAGAAACGCGACTTTGATTCGAAAGTAGTGACATCTCATTCTTCTCCCCTAGTCTCTCCCCCTCTGCACATTTTTTCATCCTCTTTCCCTCCCTCTCTTTCCCTTTCCACACTTCTAATCTCCCCTGTCTCTTTCTCTCACCTCTCCCCTTTCCTCTCCTCTCCTATTCACCTTTCTTTTCCCCTCTCTCCTTCCCTATCTCCAAATACCTTCCCCACTCTTGGCGCCTTCTTTTAATAATTACTTATCCCTTTCACCTTCCCTCTCTCCCCACTCCCCCTCTCTCTGAAAAAAATATAATAACAAAGCACTGAAACTGCCAAATAAATCTATGGATAAGACAACCAAAATTTCAAAACTTGAAAATAGCTCGGGGGCGTGGAGGGATGGGGGGGGGGGGAAGCGGTTAGATGCTAATATTTCTTAAAGCGTGGCATTGAGTCAGACCACGACTGGCCTATGACACTGCCAGACCCCACATGCTTCATGCGTGAAAGTTGGGTGAGGCGAGGGCCAAGTGTCTTGCCTCTAACCCTGGACAGAAAGACAAATAAACACATTCACTTTTATTGATACATACTAGATAGGGTTCCCGGAGTTCTCTCTTTCCCTCCTCCCTTTCTCTTCTTCTACTCCTTCCTCTCTCATCTCATTTTACCTCCCCTTTCCCCTTCTCATCTCTGCTTCTCCTTTCCTTCTCATTCCGGTATACACAAGGCACCGAAATGTTAGCGGAGGCACAGGAATGTTAGCGGGAGCACCGGAATGTTAGCGGGGGCACCAGAATGTTAGCGGGGGCACCGGAATGTTAGTGGGGGCACCGGAGTGTTAGCTGGGGCACCGGAATGTTAGTGGTGGGCACCGGAGTGTTAGCGGGGGCACTGGAATGTTAGCGGTGGGCACCGGAGTGTTAGCGGGGGCACCGGAATGTTAGCGGGGGCACCGGAGTGTTAGCAGTGGGCACCGGAGTGTTAGCGGTGGGCACTGGAGTGTTAGTGGTGGGCACCGGAATGTTAGCGAGGGCACCAGAATGTTAGCGGGGGCACCGGAATGTTAGCAGGGGCACCGGAATGTTAGCTGGGGCACCGGAATGTTAGCTGGGGCACCGGAATGTTAGCTGGGGCACCGGAATGTTAGCGGTGGCACCGGAATGTTAGTGGGGGCACTGGAGTGTTAACTGGGGCACCGGAATGTTAGCGGGGGCACCGAAGTGTTAGCAGGGGCACCGGAATGTTAGTGGTGGGCACCGGAGTGTTAGCGGGGGCACTGGAATGTTAGCGGTGGGCACCGGAGTGTTAGCGGGGGCACTGGAATGTTAGTGGGGGCACCGGAGTGTTAGCTGTGGCACCGGAATGTTAGTGGGGGCACCGAAGTGTTAGCAGTGGGCACTGGAAAGTTAGCGGTGGGCATCGGAGTGTTAGCGTGGGCCTTGTGTGTGTACAGCTACAAGCTCACGTCTGAGTATAAAGTTATTTGTTGTCTATCAGTAAACAAAACATGTGTGGACATACCTGGCTTTGACGAGCACGTCGAGGGTGTTCTCCTTCACCTGGCTGGCCTTCTTCAGGCCATTACACGTCTCTCTAAGCAGCTTCACACGCTCCCGGATCCTCCTCTGAAGGGAGAAACAACCTTATTACTCTACTGCCTATTACTAATTTGTCGATTTCTTGATTGGCTAATTGATTGATTTTTATTGGTTGGGTGATTGCTTAATTTATTGATATTCAGATTTAAGTTATTTATGAATATTAGTATATTGAAAATATAATTTCAATTAGCTTACACTTGATAATTGCACCTATATTAGAGACGGTGTGATGTGTGGTATCTTTGTTGTGTTAAGCGAGACAGTCGTGCTGGTTGGTGGTCCCAAATAGTACACGAGTAGTTAGTGGTTAGTGGTTATGGTACTTGGCTAACAGTGACCACGGACAAGTGAGGTCTAGCTCTGCATGCCCCGCCTACTAGCCTTCTTGTACCTGGTGCGCTTTAATAGATTTTTTATAATTCGTTATCGTATCTGGCTTTATAGTTGTGGATGGAGGTGGCTTCTATGACTTCTTTTTTCAGCGCATTGCACTTGGGACGACCCGTACAGGGTACACGTATTACCTTCGACTCATCTGCGTCTCCCGCTGTCATCTTTGATCTCTTGTTCAATATTATCTCAATTAAATAAGGCTGCCATTACCACCTATTCTATTCCCTCCAGAATCTTGTATATTGTTGTCCTATTCCATCTTCCTCTTCTGTCCTCCAGGGTTAATGTGTTTTGTGGCAAGAAGAAGCAGAAGGAATATGATCACAACATACAAGGTATCAACGGGAATAGACAAGATGGATAAGAATAGACTCCTTAAATTAAGAGAATGTAGGTGGTAGTTGTAGTGTAGCTGAATTGGTGGTGATAGCAGTCGTGGTGGTCGTGATACTGGTCGTGGCAATGGTCGTAGTGGCGCTGGAGTTGATAGTGGCTATGATTTCAGTTATTTCACAAATAACATTGGTGATAATGATATTGATGACCCTGTGGTGGTGGTGACGCCGTGGTGGTGGTGGTGACGCCGTGGTGGTGGTGGTGACGCCGTGGTGGTGGTAGTGGTGGCGGTGGTGGGGTTAGTGATGCGCTCTACACGACTGGAGAAAGCGAGGGGGAGAGAGTGCTGTGCTGCCACAAGTGAAACTTAGGCACCTCTCGTGAATCAGTTGATACCATGGAGAGAGAGAGAGAGAGAGAGAGAGAGAGAGAGAGAGAGAGAGGGAGAGAGGAGAGAGAGAGAGAGAGAGAGAGAGAGAGAGAGAGAGAGAGAGAGAGAGAGAGAGAGAGTACTGTAAACATCATTCATAATATCACTATTTACTCATTACTCTAACAGCGTTTCTTGTTTTAATATATAAATTTGCTGATTTACATTTATTTTAACATAAAAAAATAATGTTTATCTATAAGAAATAAACACAAGCACGCTAATGTTACCTTTTCTCTGGAGCTCGTTATCATTAATTAATTTTGTATTTACAACCTCCCTGTTTGTTGACCCAGAGGTGTGTGTGTGTGTGTGTGTGTGTGTGTGTGTGTGTGTGTGTGTGTGTGTGTGTGTGTGTGTGTGTGTGTGTGTGTGTGTACTCACCTATTTGTACTCACCTATTTGTGCTTGCTGGGATTGAGCTCTGGCTCTTTGGTCCCGTCTCTTAACTGTCAATCAACTGGTGTACAGGTTCCTGAGCCTACTGGGCTCTATCATATCTACACTTGAAACTGTGTATGGAGTCAGCCTCCACCACATCACTTTCTAATGCATTCCATTTGTCAACCTCTCTGACATTAAAGAAGTTCTTTCTAATATCTCTATGGCTCATTTGGGCACTCAATTTGGTGATGGTGGTGGTGGTGGTGACCCTGGTAGTGGTGATGGTGGTGGTGGTGGTGACCCTGGTAGTGGTGATGGTGGTGGTGGTGGTGACCCTGGTAGTGGTGATGGTGGTGGTGGTGGTGACCCTGGTAGTGGTGATGGTGGTGGTGGTGGTGGTGGTGTGTGTGTGTGTGTATTTACTATTTGCATTTGCTATTTGTGTCTGCAGCATCAAGCTGTTAGCTCCTGGAGCTCGCTTTTCTAACCGTCGGTTGTCTTATATATTGACTCCTGACCTATTGTTCCTCATTCTCTATCTTATAAACTACATATATATATATATATATATATATATATATATATATATATATATATATATATATATATATATATATATATATATATATATATATATATATATATATATATATATATATATATATATATATATATATATATATATATATATATATATATATATATATATATGTCACAAACACACGTTCACAGGACGCAGCCCGTAGCAGCTGTTTAACTCCCAAGTATCTATTTACTGCTTGGTGAAGTGGTGCGTCAGTTGAGAGAAACTCTGCCCATTTGTTTTTACCTCGGTCAGGGAATTGAATCTAGTGCCTTAGAACTATGACTCCCGAGCGCTGTCCGTTCGGCCGTGAGGACCTGTGTGCGTGTGCGTGATAGGGAGAGTGCGCTCGACTGCTCTTAAGGCTGTAATTTTACATGTGTAAATTCACACACGTGATTGCAAGCACCCATGTATGCGTTCGTGTGCACCTTCCGATGCTTGGTTGCATGTATTAGGTTCCAGTGTACTGGAATGTTTATAAGTATATGGCTTGTGGGAGGGGGCGCTGTAGAGGAGGGGGGATAGGATGAGGGAACAGAGAGGGAGGGGAGGGAACAGGAGGGTGTTTGAAGTGATAGGGAGGTGGGGAGGTGGGGGGGGGGAACAGGGCTCCAATGCATGCAAGCCTCCAAGATGACCTGAGGCAATCTCTTCATGATGCAAGTTTCAGTCTAGCTGTTGCAACAGGTGCGTCTACAACCTGGTGGTTTAGTTCATTCAGTCTTCCCACTGCTCTTACTCTAAACACTTGCTTGGTCACATCTTATTGACTCATCTGTGTCAAGCTTTCATCCAATGCCCTAATGTTTCATTGGTATTAATTGTATACTTTACTCTTTCCACATTGTCTATCCTCCACAGTATTGTGTGTGTCTATCATGTTTGCTCTCTGTCCTCTTTTTTTAGTGACGTTAAACACATCTCTCTGTCTTTCTATTAATCCCAACTTCATTCATTTTGGGGTGATTCTCTTTGCGAACCTCTGTATCATTTATGTTTCCTTGTTTTGTTTTTTTGGGGTTGGGGCTTGTAGACGGGGCTGCAAACCTTAGGACTGGTCTCACGTTGGTGGATCACAGTGTTCTGAATGTCTTCATAATGAGATTTCTGAAGGCTGTTATAATTTTCACATCACTTTAAAGTATATGTTGGTGACTTTTTCCTTTATAATGTCTCCAGGGTAATAAGACATTGCGCAATGTCTATTCATAGGTCTTACCACAAACACCAAGTCACAATAACGGGCTGAAAAATGAGACACCCAACTCACACGTCTGAAAAGGAAGAAAGTGACGAGGTTTCGGACCGTCCTGGACCTTTATCAAGGTCTTTTTTCTCTAGTTGTTTCAGAAAGCTGGTTTACCCTTCATTGTGGACCATCTGTCCTGTTCCTCTACTGTCCTTTGTTTTCATCACTCTACACTTGATGGTGTTGAAATCCAGTGGTTATTATTCAAACAGATTATGGGGGCTTATATCTAATTTTTATTATATTTTATAAACCATCATCTGTCTCACCAGTCCTCTGTCTTCTGTCTGTTAGGTATTCTCTTACCCATTTCAAGTTTTGTTCTGTTACTCCTGCATGCTTCTCGAGTCTATAAAGTAGTCGTTTATGCGAAACTATGTCAACAGGATTTCGGAGTCCCTCCCAAGAAAATATGCAGTCTGACCATCCTTGCCGTTTTGTGTTAGTGCCTTAGGATTGTTATAGAGACTTACGTAGGCTCGTGAGGCAAGGGTTTTTCTTTCCTGAGATCGTGGTTAAGCTTGCTTATGAACGTAATCTTTTCTTAATGTTCTTCTAATCTCTCCCTTACTTTTCTTTTAAAGCACTTTGTAAGGGATGCTTGTTTGCGACGCTGGTTCGTGAAGTGGCTCCTCCATCCTGTCCCCTTTTCTTGCGTGGGTGTGTTTGTGTACGGGGTTGAGCTTCGGGTCTTTGGTTCCGCCTCTCGGCTGTCGATCTAGTGGTGTACTTGATTGACAGTACAATCAACTGTGTGTGCGTGTGCGTGTGTGCGTGTGTGTGTGTGTGTGTGTGTGTGTGTGTGTGTGTGTGTGTGTGTGTGTGTGTGTGTGTGTGTGTGTGTGTGTGTGTGTGTGTGTGTGTGTGTGCGCGCGTGCGTGCGTGCGCGCGCGCGCGAGGGCATGCTCACTCAAATAGTTGTTCATGTAAGGGTTGAGTTTCAGCTCACGAGGCTCTCCTCTCGACCTCAACCCACTGGTATAATGCATAATTGTACGTAATAACGATTAATGTTTAAGAAAACAAAACAAAAAAAATCAAATACAGCAATAATAATAATCAGTGTACCAGTGTTAATAACAATAAAAAACAGCAATAATAATAATAATGATAAATAAATAATAACTAATAAATAATAATAACAATAATAATTCCATTCTCTGTTTCTTTCAGTGTTTCTGGCACATTTAATCGTTTTCTACGTTTATTAGTAAGAAATTGCATCAAATTGCTGGTTACTCTGAATATTATTTTGTAATTGTTTACTAGCAATAATAAGCGCAATAAATAGATGAGTTTCTGGGGCCAGGCTTCAGATGAACAGCTGTTGGGTGAGAGTTCTTAGCTCCCAGTGTCACTGAGAACGTCATTTATATCCGTAGAGTATCATCTCTTGTCTAAGATTTATGAAAAATTAGAGAGAGAGAGAGAGAGAGAGAGAGAGAGAGAGAGAGAGAGAGAGAGAGAGAGAGAGAGAGAGAGAGAGAGAGAGAGAGAGTATAAGAATAGCAATAAAGGAGGGTTGGGGGGTTGATGGGGGAGTGGAAGGCTGTACCTCAGTTTCCATGAGACTTGGTGGAAGAGTGTTGTTGGCAGTGACCTCAACCCTCGTGACCTCCACCTCCGTGACCTCCACCTCCGTGACCTCATCCGGGGACCTCCACGCCCTCTCGACACTCCCTGAGGTGTTTCCGGATGCCTGAGAAGGAAGACAGGTGTAAATGCTGATTAAGTCATCGTTTTGACAGAGTGATTTAATTTATTTTAATCTATAAATTGAAGAAACGTTCGTATAGAGTAGTGTTGTATATGCATGCGTGAGTTGTACTGCGCGGGGTTGAGTTTAACCTCCTGGGTCCCGCCTTCCAACTTGTAATCACTCAACTTTCTGTTCGCTGGCCAATCTTGTATATGCAGCTGATGATATTCTTCAGTTGTGGGCTGTGACAAGTTCGGTGAGATGTAAACCTCAAAATCTTTTCCTATGTGAGATTACAGGGAAGTTTCACTCCAATACCGTATCCAGTTTCATTACTTTGCACTTGCTTGAGTTTAAATCTATCAGCCACTTGCTGGACAGTTCTGTCATCGTATTCCTGTCATCCTGTAAATTCTCACAGCCTTTTATCGTATTTATCCTGCTCGTAATTTTTTGCTTCATCAGCTGACAATGAGTGTGCTATGTACTCACCTAATTGTGCAAGCATCAGGGTCGAGGATCTACTCGACCCTAATGCTTGCAAATCTTTTGACTGTGTTGGTCGAAGGACTTACGACCATTAGTAGTGCAATACAGTGACTCTTTTTCACTAATTTTATAATAATATTTACATTTAAAACTGTGTACCATATTGGTTGCGACATTTCCTCATCAAGTCCATTTCACTCATTGAAGAATTTTAGACTAAAAAAAGTTCCGGCATCTCTGTGATTTCTCTGTTTCCAGTTTCCAATTATGTCTCCTCGTTTTACTGTTCCTATCTTTAAATATTTCCTCTATATCTACTGTGTTAATTCCCAGCAGATAAATTATGGGTCGCTTAAAGAATGTATACAGCGCTCGGAAGGGTTCTTTGTCCAAGTTTCTGAAGAATATCCGGACAGTTGGCAGAATGGTGACTGCCTCGTTATGTCTGCTCCAAAGTCTTTCTCCTTTTCAGAAGTTTAAAGTTGCCTTCCCTTCATCCTGTACTGTATTTAGTGGCTTTCTTGTTCTGATTACTATCCCCATACGCCCTTGTATTTGACATGGTTAAAGTCTAGTAGTCATTTTTCAGGCTATGTCTCGAGGTTGTCTATAGTTCATCCAGCCCGTCCTCCAAACAAAGATCCAAAAGTGATTCCATGCACCCGCCAAACCCCCTGTTTATGAATGAAAAGCGGTTTACACACGACTCACAACTGCTGACGTTCGAACATATCCGGAACAAGTGCTTCACTGACGAATTTTGTTCGAATCACAACGCTGTAAATGCTTCACCCACGTACTACAAATACAAATAACCGCCAACAGAACCTAAACACCTAACCTAACCTAACCTATACCTATATATGCACAATATGCTAAAATATTATAATAATAATTTATACTTGAGAAAATTCCCGTTTTGAATGAACAGCATGTTAAAATTTATGAATGCGTCTGTGGGATCGACCGCTGGATGTAATGGACTTCAGTCGAGGACGGGTTGGTTCATCTTGCAGTGTTTTGCAGTACAGCTCGTCTTGTCGGTTTCAATTCGTCTTGTTATCTTAGCATCGTCAGCAAATATTAATAAAAATGCGCTTGCTTCCTCTGTTGTATCGTTCATGCATATTAGGACAAGGATGGGGGCCTAGTACTGGCTCCTAAGGTGTTCCACTCATTATTATAGGGTCCCGGTAGTACAATCGGGTTCGCCCTCGACCTACAATCGAAAATTGCTGGTTCGAATCTTGGGCGGGACAGATGTGGTTGGGTACATTTCCTATCACCTAATGGGCCCTGTTCACCTAGCAGTAAATAGACACCCAGGAGTTAGTCAGCTTGTTATGGGGTTGAATCCTGGGCGGGGTCAGTAATTCGACCTTGTGGGGTGTGTGGGGAACTTTGATATAAGCCTAACGTATATGAATACACACTGGCTTCCTGTCCCCCCCCCCCCTGACATAATGCATTATTATGAATTATATTATTATCTCCAGTCTGCAATCTCCTCTACTAAGACGTTTTGCCTTCTGTGTATGTTTGAGTGTATTTGTATGTATTTGTGTGTGTTTGAGTGTATTTGTGTGTATTTGTGTGTGTTTGAGTGTATTTGTGTGTGTTTGAGTGTATTTGTGTGTTTGAGTGTATATATTTGCTCAGCTCGAGAGTGACTGTTTACAAAATTTGGAATATTCATTTTTTATTTTCAAATATACATTCACACGAGGAGAAATATGAGGCGGAAAAATAATTATACCTCATTCTCCGTGAGGTTCAATGCAAGGCTGATGTTGCCTGTGGCCTCCACCTCCGTGGCCTCGTGTGGCGTCCTACAGGACCTCCCCGCACTTCCTGAAGTGTTGACTGATGACAGCACCTGAGGGCAGGACACACACATGACTCCTGAATATTTTGACAATTTATAACGTGAGATCTAGTTGTGTTAATGCAGGTGTGTGTGTGTGTGTGTGTGTGTGTGTGTGTGTGTGTGTGTGTGTGTGTGTGTGTGTGTGTGTGTGTGTGTGTGTGTGTGTGTGAAAATGTTTCTATAACAACATATAATGAAAGGAAAGTTGAAAAGAATAAATAATGTTTGCTAAACAAACATTATTTATTCTTTTCTAAATTACGATGAAAATATCATTATTTTGACCATTATTTAGAAAAAATACAATAAATATAAACTGGATATTTCGGTTCTCCGGCGGAACACTCCAGAGCGTTGGGCAACATAACCGGATACAGATACAATGAGGACACATGAGGATACAGAGACATTGAGGACACATGAGGATACAGAGACATTAGCGACACATGAAGATACAGATACATTGAGGACACACACAGGAATACAGATACATTGAGGACGCATGAGGATACAGATACATTGAGGACGCATGAGGATACAGATACATTGAGGACGCATGAGGTTACATTGAGGACACATGAGGATACAGATACATTGATGACACATGGTAGAAAGACTGTTGGGGGATCTCCCTCTTATTTCTCTGATGGTTTGAATTCTCTGGTGCAGTCCCAAGTATCCAATTTAAAGTTGAATGGGAGTCAGATAACAAATAACACCTCAGTCAGGTACACAGTTTACAGGCAAGATTACAGACTCAGACTCACAGTTTACAGACCCACACAGGAATCTGGCTCCATTATTTTAGTAACCATTGGAATAAAAAGTATTGATTTAGGTCTTTACCTAAGAGCATTCCATATGTGTAGCCCCCTCGATGGTTAAACATTGAAATAAACAAACTCAACAGTTAACTCAACAAAGTAAGATATCTCAAATTGATTTCTTCGTGAAGCTTTGAAAATTGCTATAGTAAATTGTTATCATTTTCTTCTCTAAGGAGCAGGAGATCGTTTACAAGAATAGCTATGTATGTGTATATCAGAAATTGATTTTCCTATTGAAAATTTTAATTATATGAGGTCATTACTATTAGAGAAAAGACATACACTTTCTTCAATTTATTTATGAAGACAAACGTTTCGTTGAATTTAATGTATCAGTGTTAAAAGAGGGAACACAACTACCCAGCAAAAATTAGCTAAAGATCATCAATAAGAAGTTCACAGATTTATGAAATACAATATCAACTAAAAGACTAAGACAGTAAAACCTAAACAGCCACAAAGAAGTTAAAAACCGAAAATATATCTAAAGTAGAAAAATAACACGTAGAAAAGACCTGACAACACACTTCGAGAAGACAAGAATTAGTGAGTGCACAACTTCGTCGAGAATTCTGAGTTGTTCAACTCTGGGTCTCATTTGAATAGATTACATGACGTTGAGATCTTCCAAATGTTATGAATTGATATCTTCGAAATGCACCGACTTTCAAATGCTATCGACTACAGTCGATAGCATTTGGATGTGAGTGTAGTGAGTGAGAGGGGTGGCTATCAGCTCCAGTGGGATCTCTAACAGCAGGTTTGCCTAATGGGGCAAACTTGTACGGCAAGAGGTACCCACATGTTCACAGATACGGTGGTTAAGGCATCGTGAGGTATTCCCCACGTATCGAACATTATAATTCGAACAGTTATTTAAAAGGCGCCCACCAGATCTGAGATAGACGAGTCAACGATTTCCCTGTGTCAGTAGGTCCCAATAGTATGATTATTGGTCAGCACTCTCTTCAATAAGTTTAGTTTTCATGAAGCTAGTTTCCAGTACCGGCAACACACAATCATTCCCAGAAAGATCATTTGCATATCCTCACAAGAGAATCTACAAAATTATGCTCAACATTCTTCTTGACACTTGTTGTTTAAAACATTCACGAAGTGTTTTCCAAATAACATATCTCATGTTTCTGAGGCAGTGTTTTAAGTTGACCTAAGTTGCATTTCTTTATAATGGGGATTTTAGGTGAGAGATAATTTTGAGAACACATCTCAGTGATATTGATTAGATTCACTTTTAGGGGATGATGTCCAGAAGACTTAATACATAATGAGGTGTTCAGGCATAAATATTGACTGATTAGAGGAATGCCTGCCTAAGTCTTGACATTAACGAGATTATGAAGACGGGTATAAGTAATATAGTATATATATATTTTTGTTTTCAGTGTGATCCACCAATAATGCTCTGTCCATTTTTCTGTACAAATTGTGGATGAATATTAATTGTTGATCAGCACAAAACAGAGCTATTTAAGAATTTAGAAGACTTTAAATTTATAAGTTCCTTTCTAATATATTAGCTTACAGTACCAAAATTAGAAAATTTTACGTAATTTTAACAATGAGTGAGAATTTCGTATTTATAAATTTCCTGAAAATCCTGTAAAATACTTTGCTTGGAAAAATATTTGATTCATAGAAATTGTGCAAAAAGAAAATTTCAACATCACATTATTTGTTATCAAAACAAGGAATGAAAAGTCTGTTTAATAAAGTTTCAATTGTATTACTTAAACAGTTTAGAACTAAACTTGACCGTAACCCGTGAATGTTTACAATTAACGGGACTAGTAAAGTGACCACCAATATTAATAATTAGTAAAGTTACCACCACTATTAGTAATTAGTAAAGTGACCACCACTATTAGTAATTATTAAAGTGACCATTATTATTAATAATTAGTAAAGTGACCACCAATAGTAGTAAATCATGAATTAATAAATGATATTTCCAAATTAACAACAATTTCATAAATAACTGCCAAGTTTAAATTGTTTGAATTTGAATAAGAAACAGAGAGAGAGAGAGAGAGAGAGAGAGGGGGGGAGCATCAGAACGAAGTCCAAACACCTACGTCAGGTCGTATGCTGAAGGGTCTGGCGAGGTAGAAGAAAAGGTTGGCGAGTAGCAGGGTTGAGAGGAGAGTGAGTGAGACGGTCCTCCTGAGGGGCGAGGCACCCCAGCTCCAGGGCAGCCTCATCTGTAGACATACACCAGGACATACACCACCAGGGCGCGCACCACCAGGGTACACACCTGACCCCATCACACACTCTCCAGGTCTGCGTCCGTCTCTGGGAAAGGTACACAAGGAAAAATAGTTTTAGTGTGAGGGTATCTACGTTTTAATGCATATGTTGAGCTTATGAATACTTTTACACGCGGGACGTCTTACTTATGTATATTTTTATACATGCAGTATCAGACTTGTGTATTCTTACTTAAATCCAACATTACTCTTGGTTACTCGTTTCTACTGCTCGTCGCCTTCAAGCAGCCGCCAGGAACTACTGCTAATTATATATATCGGTAGTTATTCAAGGTAGAATACACACACACACACACACACACACACACACACACACACACACACACACACACACACACACACTAACTACAAACTAGCACTTTGTAGTTTGAAAGCGTTATATGACAAAGAGTATTGGGAAGACGGGACACCACGAGCGTAGCTCTCATCCTGTAACTACACTTAGGTAATTACACACAAACAGGAAATACTGGCCACACTATTCTTCAGAGCACGTGGCTTTATCTATTAACGATGGTGCGAACAACAACTGCGTCAACCAGTTCTCGGATTTCCAAATCACGGGATCCATGACAAAGTGAGAGGAAACGCCGACCCTCCGTCAGCCCCGGAGCACGCTATAGGTCAAGGCCAACACCAAACACAAGAGATAAAACGCTACTGTTTTGAAAACAACTTAATCGGGAAGATGGGAAGAAGTTAAAGGATGGCTTGTGGAAAACTAACATTGTTGCTCTTTGACTGGGGGTCACGTGCGCTGCAGCTGTGTGCGAGGGCACTGTTTATATAGGCCCTAGACACCGCCCTGCTGTCTTGCTTCTATGGGGGGCACCGCCCCAATGCTGTGCCCAAGAATCTAGGGCACACTGCACTGAGGCGTTAGTTCGTACACAATATGGAACCCCGCACCGACGTTTGTTTAAGGTTGAGAATATTTCGCTAATGCCCTGTCGGTATTGATTATAACCTTCCAAGCAGCTGAGGCCTGAAAATTAAGCCTGATCAGCATCTCAAAATGTGTTTTCAGTAACCAACATTTGCTTACAAGGCCAGACTTGCAGTCGCACGGTCTCAGACTGACGTGCTCAAATACATAATAACTCGTACACTCACGGATACTGACTCGCCAAATCAAAGACACTGACTCACCAATTCATAGACTCACACTCACAAACACTGACTCCCCAACTTACAGATAAATGGACACACAAACGGTACCTGAAACAAAATTCTTCATCTGTAACAAAATCATTGGAGTTAGCAGCTCGGGCCTTGGGCCATGCCAGGCACACTGGTAATCCAATTTATTTCTGAATTGGGTATTAACTCGGTACCTTCAAATGTCTTGTGGAGTTTGGCCGGACTCAAGGTGGTATTGCTTTTAATCATATCGTGGTCCAGCGGGTAATGCTTACGTTTCTGGGAGGGGTGACCCAAGTACTCAGGTTCGATCCCACCGCCCTGCTCCAAAGATTTTCTCATAAATATATCCCGTTATTGTGATTTCATTGAGTACTTTATGTTCACCAGTGCTTCAGATTTGTGTGTATATATATTTTTTCTTCCCACTTTTAAACTAAATCATCTTCTTAACCCCACCGAGGAGCGAGACACAACAGTGTAAAGGTGTTGTGATAAGGGCAGGAGGATTTATACCTCTCTTGAAGGATTTATACCCCCCTTCCTAAATCCGTCTTCTCCCTCTTCCCTCTCCATAATCCCCCACTTCAATCCCTCCACCTCCCTAACAACCCCCTCCCTCCGTAATCACCCATCACCTCCACCCCTCCCATCAATAACCCCCCTCCCCCCTCTCTCTTTCGTAAATCCCCCCTCTCCAGGCCCCCTGGCCCCCCTTCCCCACACAAAGCCGGTCCTCCGTACATTTTGTCCCCGCTGTCAGAGGAAGCTCTTGTTTACGTCGAGTCCTTACTTTCCTGCCATATTCACCAGTGCTTTGTGCTGAGTCCCATCCTGTTGTCCTATTTCTGTGGGTGGCACCGCCCTCTTGTCCTCTTGGTGTGGGTGGCTCGGCCCTCTTGCTGTGGGTGGCACGGCCCTCTTGTCCTCTTGCTGTGGGTGGCACGGCCCTGTTTTTCTGTCGACAGCAGACGACACACCCTACAGAAATGCAGATCAGAAACTTCTGCACATCCCTGTAGCTCTTCTCGTTACAGCAGCCCCAAACTCCTGCACCACCCCTGTAGCTCTTCTCGTTACAGCGGCCCCACTGGAAACATTCTAGTTACTGGACAAAATGTCGCATGTTCTCTCTCAGCTCTAGACTGTGGACACAGGAACGGAGGTCACCATCTGGGGGACCCCAGGGAAGTGTGTACGCAAGTGTGCTCAATATTCCCTAATACACCAAGTTTTCTGAGTGTTTGCTGAGTCAGAAAATTTGGCTTATTAGTCAGGAAGCTTGTCTTATTACTGAGAAAGTTTAGCTTATTACTCAGAGCTTACCCTCTTACTCAAAAGGCTTGGGTTATTACTCAGGGAGTTTAGGTTATTACTCAGGGAGCTTAGATTATTACTTGGGCAGTTTACCATACCCAACCATCCAAAATGGCGTCTTTCTCTGTCCCACGCCGCGTGTTGTGTAGTGTAAAGACTGGACAAGCGACCCTTTGTTGACGTGAGTCATACTTAGTCACAGGCGTCATGGTTACTCACCCCCAGGCGTCATGGTTACTCAGCCCTAGGCGTCATGGTTACTCAGCTCCAGGCGTCATGGTTACTCAGCTCAAAGGTGTCATGGTTACTCAGTCCCAGGCGTCATGGTTACTCAGCCCCAGGCGTCATGGTTACTCAGCTCCAGGCGCCATGGTTACTCAGCTCCAGGCGTCATGTTTACTCAGCTCAAAGGTGTCATGGTTACTCAGCCCCAGGCGTCATGGTTACTCACCACCAGGCGTCATGGTTACTCAGCTCAAAGGCGTCATGGTTACTCAGCTCAAAGGCGTCATGGTTACTCACCCTCAGGCGTCATGGTTACTCAGCTCCAGGCGTCATGGTTACTCAGGTCAAAGGCGTCAGGGTTACTCAGCTCCAGGCGTCATGGTTACTCAGCCCCAGGTGTCATGGTTACTCAGCTCCAGGCGTCATGGTTACTCAGGCCCAGGTGTCATGGTTACTCAGCCCCAGACGTCATGGTTACTCACCACCAGGCGTCATGGTTACTCAGCCCCAGGCGTCGTGGTTACTCACCACCAGGCGTCATGGTTACTCACCACCAGGCGTCATGGTTACTCAGCACCAGGCGTCATGGTTACTCACCACCAGCCGTCATGGTTACTCACCCCCAGGCGTCATGGTTACTCAGCCCCAGGCGTCATGGTTACTCAGCCCCAGGCGTCATGGTTACTCAGCCCCAGGCGTCATGGTTACTCACCCCCAGGCGTCATGGTTACTCAGCCCCAGGCGTCATGGTTACTCAGCCCCAGGCGTCATGGTTACTCACCCCCAGGCGTCATGGTTACTCAGCCCCAGACGTCATGGTTACTCACCACCAGGCGTCATGGTTACTCAGCCCCAGGCGTCATGGTTACTCAGCTCCAGGCGTCATGGTTGCATAGTCAGGCTGACTAATCCGAGAGCTTGGTTCCCTCTCCTCTCTCACAGTATATTTATAGTTATATTTTTTATGGTATATCACACGGTAATGGTCTGTTTACGATAAATATCTTATCTTGGGTGATATAACATCTGGCAGGTGATGCTGCTCTATTATCTTCTCTCTCAACACTATGCTCCTCTTCGCTCTTTACGGGCTCACCATAGCCCGTGCTACGTGGACATTTCGTTCTGAGTAACTAAATCTAAAACTTCATCATCTTCGCTCTTACGAGTTACGGGCTCACCATAGCCCGTGCTACTTGGAACAGTTTGTTCCTAGTAGTTGAATCTAATACTACAACAAACAACATTTTCGCTCTGCCACAGGGTGATAGGGTGGACAAAGACAAACTCTTCAGCACGGGTGGGACACGAACAAGGGGACACAGGTGGAAACTTAGTACCCAGATGAGCCACAGAGACGTTAGAATTTTTTTTTCAGTGTCAGAGTAGTTAATAAATGGAATGCTTTAGGCAGTGATGTGGTGGAGGCTGACTCCATACACAGTTTCAAATGTAGATATGATAGAGCCCAGTAGGCTCAGGAATCTGTACACCAGTTGATTGACAGTTGAGAGGCGGGACCAAAGAGCCAAAGCTCAACCCCCACAAGCGCAATTAGGTAAGTACAGGGCTCGGAGCAGTTCAGTAGTGGCACAGTCAAATCAAATGTTTATTCGGGGTAAAAGTACATGCATTCAAGATGAGTTACAAACATATTGTCGGATTTCTAGATAGAGCCAGTACACACAATGCTTACATTTAAACAGAGGTTAAATACGCACAGTGTTTTGGGCAACGGTGAATCAAAAATCAAGAATTCTTAGTTAAATCAATGTTCCTTGCTCTCATCTTCTCCATATTTTATGTTCTTCGCGGGAAGGAAAGATAATAAATGTCCTGCCCGAAACGCTTTGCGTAATAGTGGCTTTAGGCATTGTATGTACTAGCTCTTATCTATAAAGCCAACAAACTTTGTAAAATCTCTTTATGTATGTACCTTTGCCTAAATAAAAATTATTATTATTATTATTATTATTATTATAACTCTCCAAAAGTTAAATTTTCAGATTTTTATGTCCCGATGCTCAGAGATGCGTTCCTTATTTTTGTTTGTGATCAGGTGTATATCTGACGGGAGAGTGTGTACTCTCTGACGGGGGTTGAGCTTCAGCTCTTTGCTCCCACCTCTTGACTGTCTGTCAACTAGTTTGCTGGGTCCTGAACCGATAGGGTTCTGTCATACCTAAATTTGAAACTGGATATGGAATCTGTCTCCACCACAACACTTCCCAGTAGATTTGTTGCGAGAAACATCCGATTCGAATTTGTTTTCCACGTAAGAGCCTGGTTGACCAGACCACAAGTCAGGCTGCCTGGCCAGAGACCGGGCCGATGGGACGTTGA